GTCGAGCCAGTGGTCACATCTTCTATTATCTCATTTGAGAAAAATGCCAGTGGACCTCAGGGCTTAAGCACCGTCCTCAGGCAAAGCGGACTAAGCATGGGGGCAGGGGTCCCAGGGGTGTGCAGTGCGCCAGCAGACAGTGTGATGAGCAGGGAGGGCCCACTGGTGCGGGTGGGGTCCCCAAGTGCTTGGCTGAGCTGCAGAGGAGCAGCACCCAGAAAAGGAACTAAGGGACGAGGGGAGTTGACACCTGTCCTCAGTCACCCCAAGAGCTTGCTGACTATTTGGACAACTTCTGGCCTCTTGCTCTATCCCCTCATGGGGTCTCGGGAGAGAGCCACCATGAAGCACATGGGCACTCAGCCAAGAACAGCAGTAGACGGACGACTTGCAGTTATGCACGGTCACCGGGGACAGAGCCGCAGCCCCGTGCCCAAGAGCGTCTCCAGGGGCCCGAGTCAGTCAGCACCGGTACTGCTGGGCCTGGGTCTGAGTCACTGGAGCTTGTGCAAACAGGATTCCTGGGCCCTGCCTGCAAAGTTTCCAATTTAGAAAGTCTGGGAAGGGTGGGAAGTCTGCATTTCTGGCAAATGTCCGGGTTACATGGGGCCGCTGGTCCAGAAAACTACAGGGAGCCACTCTGAGGGCCACAGCCGTGGTGACTGCGCACCTGTCTGCATTTTCCTCTGATGCTGAAGGTCCCTTCTACCTCAAGGTCTCACGGATCCTGCTGGCTGTCTGCATTTTCCTCTGATGCTGAAGGTCCCTTCATATGTCCAGGTACAACCTTGCACATAAAACTAGCCTTTCTGAAGGCCCCGTACATTTCCCAGTAACCAGACAGCAAGGTTACCTGTCATGATGTCAACCAGGTCTGCTAAACTGTTTTCAAGGTATAGTTCTTTGAAGAGCGGGTTTTATCTTACGAACAGAGAAAGTGGCCATGCTAAGGGAGGTGTGGCTGGGTCAGGAAATAACCAGTGAGGGGACCTGTGGGTCGTCCACCCTTCTCTCTGTTTCCACCTTTGGTACTAATAGAGGGACGACTGCTCTGTCCCAGAAAGTAGGCAAACTGCCAAGGTCCTCGGGGTCAGGGGGCTGGCTGGAGTCACCTGTGAGTGCCTGTTCATCCCTGAAGGTGGCTGAGCTTCGCCGTCAGGATGCTGAATTGAAAATGGGTATAGCTTACTCCTTGTTGTTGGATGCTCCCAGATGAAAGAGAGACCCTAAGGGTATGATCTGAGGGGCAAGAGCTTCTGGCCAGGGGGACTGAGTGTATCCTGGATTCACTCTGGGGCTGGCTTGCACTCTGCTTTCAGGGACTGAGGGACACGGATCTTTCTGAGCTCGGATAGGTCTGTAGTGATGCAGGGAACACTTTGTAGAAACTGCTTCTTGGGAGGATCCCCCCAGGAGACTATCTCATCCTCTCAGCCTTACACAGCTTCAGCTCTCCATGTGGGAGCCCTTCAGAGACAAAGCTGAGGACTTGGATGTGCCCCTCTCCCCCGCCTGACAACAGCGTCCTCCTATCCACAAGGGACCCATGTCACTTATCCCTAAACTCACCTGGGATGAACAATGTAGGCTTCCCAAGTGTGCTGTCCTGGTCCTGACTTTCCGAAAAGTGAGGACAGTGGGCCTGAGAGCCAGTGCCCCGGTGTTGCTGGGCACACGCTGTCCTCTCTCACAGAGGGGACACGCTGTCCCCGCTCTCATGTGGTCACAATCAGCTGAGGCACGGCCTCAGGATGCCAGTGTGGGCTGCTGGTTTTCCCAAATGCTGATGGAAACCTAGAGCCTAATGGGCCCGGGTGTGTCTGTCCCGGATGGCTGGGGACTCTGCCATGGCCTCTCAGGATGGGGTGTGGGCAGCACCGTAGATGTCATAGCAGAGTGACATCTGTGGTCTTCCTGTCCTCGTTTGAGACTCATTGTCTAGGGAGTGGAGGCTGAGATCGAATGGAGGGGCAACACGCCTGTCTGGGAGCCTTCAGTGGGGCGGTGGGTGTCTGAGCTGCTGTTCCTGCCTCCTTACCAGTGTCCCCTGCCAGGAGCCTTTTGTCCCACTGCCAGCAGCACATGGCGTAATTTGGGAATTTGCTCAGGAGCACCCAGCAGGCCTGCACCACATCCGAGGTCCCTGGTAAGGGAGGGACCAGGTTCATAGTGTGGTGTGTGACCCTGAGGCCACCCCTCAGACCCAGGGGACAGCAATGCTGTGTGCCCACAGTGGGCAGACCACCTGGGCTCCCTGAATACTAGAGACTTGAGGGAGCTGGAGTGAGAGTGAGGGAGAAATGTGTGACCTAAGTTCCTCCAGGCCCGTCCCAGCACGAGGAGGCACTGGGGAAGCCACATGTGTGGTGGCTCTGGTGAGGGCCTAGCCTTTTGGCGTTGCTGGGTTAGGCTGCCTTGGATGTCTTTGCTGGTGACTGCACAGCCAGGCCAGCACAGAGTCCCAAGGGATGGATTCGCCCACGCCAGAGTCCCAGATGAGCCAACTCAGGCTGTGCCGTGAAATCTGGGACTAGATGGGAGCAATCCCAGTCTGCGTCCCAGTGATGTCTCTTCCAGTGTGGCCTGAAGAAAGTTGCCAATTTCCTCCTCGTGTGCCTGAGAGATGGTCCTCTCTGTGACTCTGGTCGCATCCACATGGCTGGTGCTCTACGCTGAAGCCGGGCTGTGGCCCAGGTTTCTCACCTCACTCAGACTGGGGCAGAGAGGAATCCAAGTTCTGAAGTGCCCCACCCCCACCCCACATTGTGGGGGTGAACGAAAGGAACCAGGCTTCCCCTGCCACCCATGCCGGCCACCAGTGCATTTCTTGGTTCCTGTTTCTCTCGCCCACCCAGGAAGGCTCTGCATGTAAAGCCTCGTCTGGACTGTAAGATGTGACAATACGCCAGGAAGCTGGTTTTCCCAGAAGACTCCCCTCAGCAGTACTGTTCCCATGTGTTAGATCCCACAGGGTCACCCCTCCTCGGGAAGCATATACTTCACCACCACTAGTAAATGAAGACTGAGGACAAACATGAAGGCTGAGGTGTTTATGTGATGTGCTGACTCCTGTGTAGGGGATCCCAGGGCAAAGAGATTGGGAGAAACAGTACAGAATTTGAAAAGATACGTGGAGATGGCTACAACCGGCCGTGAGTGTGGGGAAGCAGGATGACGTGTGGGAGATGCCTCCTCGCTGGCCGCACGGACAGCCCTCAGCCCATGCCGTCACCCTGCAGGCCGGCATGAGCGCTGGCTGCACAGACGCTTGGGACGCACACGATGCACCAGTGCAAGCAGCCTCCCATACTTTCCGAGCTCTCGGGGTCTGGTATAGACTATGCCAAGGACTATGGAGCCCTTCCGAAAGCATGCACCCTCCCCCTTGCCTCCTTGCTGGCCGCATGGACAGCCCTCAGCCCATGCCGTCACCCTGCAGGCCGGCATGAGCGCTGGCTGCACAGACGCTTGGGACGCACACGATGCACCAGTGCGAGCAGCCTCCCATACTTTCCGAGCTCTCGGGGTCTGGTGCAGACTATGCCAAGGACTATGGAGCCCTTCCGAAAGCATGCACCCTCCCCCTCTTCGGAGGGCCTTGTGCCCTTAACAAAAATCAGAGAAGGGGGTTGGGGCACCAGTTCCCTGCGAACCAGGGCCACGTCTGGGCAGGTTGCACGGGGTGGTGACAGCTGGGCCCCCAAGAAGCTCTGAGTCGTCATGGGCAGAGCCTGGCTCTGCTCTCACCATCAGGAGTGGTTGGCAGACAAGGCACAGGGTGTGGCGGGCAGGTGTGGAGCTGACCTCCCCTCATGGCGATGCTTTCTCTGGCACGGAGTTTCTGTAAACCACATCTACTTAGGAGCCGAAATGTGTGGGTCTCAGGTGGCAAAGCAGGACTCAGTAGGACTATAGCTGTGGGCTGTCCTCAGGCTTTTGCCAGGTCAGGGCCCCCTTCTCATCCTCCCTTCCCTGGCCTCACTGGGGCTGTGGTACCAGCTCCTTGGCTGCTATGCTTTCATGTCCTGGGGGCCAACTCTCCCGGGATAGGGAGAAGGAGGGGCCTGGAGGTCATGCCCTCCTCCCAGTCCATCCTCATATGGTAACAATTCTATGGTGACCTCCTTTCCATCTCTTTGGACCTTGAGGAGGAGGCTCAGGGCATCGCCTCGGCAAATCCCGGGTTGTCCCGAAGGTCTTGTGTGACTCTTCAGCTGGGCCAACAGGGGCTCCAGGGGACGAGCCTCAGTTGCCCAGGACAGCCCCTGACCCAATAAGCAGGCAGAAAGCTTCTGGGAGCCTCTACCTTTTCAGTGTCTTCTGCATTATTTTTAGAAAGACGCCCCAACCCCAGCACCATTGTAATCCTTGTCGGTGCCGCTGTCTGCATTGGCACCAAACAACTCGACCCCAGCTCAAGATGGCATTTACGCTCTGGCTTTCCCTTCTTGGTCTCCACGTACCTGAGTGACTGTCTCTCAGTGTGGTTGGCAGTGACCTGTGTTTTTCATGCATGTTTTTGTTTCAGAATAACTGGGAGATGAAACAGGAAGCTCTATGACACACTTGATCGAAAATGACACAGACAAAAAAAATTCAGGACTCAGTCCCCTTCAGTGCCTCCACCTGCTGCCCGCAGCCCATGGCCGGGATGCAGATGATGGCTCTGCCTTCGGACCTGGCTCTGACTGACAGCCTTGGACTTCAAGGGCCTCTGTGTTGGCTGGTGGTGTGTCTGTGACATGACAGCCACGGTCTGGTCTGGGTGGCTTCCCATTTATCTGGCCATTCTCTCTGTGTCTTAATCCTTTGTTCTTTATTAAAAGCAAAACTGAAAAAAAAAATTGTTTGCTTATTAGCTATATTTAAACACTAATTTAAAGGATATCAAGCAGTGTTTGAGATTAATTTCTATAGGACCACAAGAAGCCCTGCCATAGCCACTCAGCTCGTTATGACACCTTTGGAGCCATGTTGACCTTGGATCTCTTATTTCTCAGCCTCGTGCATCCTGCCTATTCTCTGGCCTCTCTAGACGACCTCTCAAGAGTCAGTACTGGAGCACTGGCATTTGGGGAAAACACTGGAAGTCATCAGAAGTGTGCGCACTGTGGCCAGGGCTGCAGATGGAGGCCTCTAAGTCGTCGCCGACCTCGAGCTTTAGCTGGGGACCTTGTCTTCTCAGCAGCTGCCCTTTCTCCCACCACACATCAGTCACCCATTCACTTCTTCATTCCACACAGATTTCTTTGGGGCCTGCTGTGCTGTGTGCCAGGTTCTGGAGGCAAAGCAATGAGTGGGCCCGACTCTGCCCCAGCCTTCCCGCACCTCCAGCCTGTACAAGTCGGCGTCGCTGGGGCTTTGCTTGAGAGTGCAGAGGGCTGTGCAGTCAGCTCATCATGGACAGACAGCACAGACATCTCATTTGGGTATCCCAGCTTCTTAAATCCACTCTGAGATCTGAGCCCCTGGAATTGGCGACAAAATATTCCTTTAACATGGGTAAGTGTCAAAGTGTTCCTTCTGTGGAGGTCACCTCTCCTCCCAACCTGAGTAGGGCAGACTGACCCTCCTGGGGACCCAGCCCAGAGGCCATTAGCAGTTTCCTCCCAGTACTTCTTGTCGCCTTCACTTTCGCACTTGGCAGACATCCAAGAATAATTTTAAATGACTGTATGTACTGTTTGCTCTTCTCAGAGTAATTAATCTGTACGCCATGAGGATAATGTCCGCCCCGTGTGCATGGCCCAGTATACGCTGCCAGCTTCAGCCACATGTCCCCTCCTCAGGGAAACACCTGGCCACTGTGTTCTGAGAAGGCCCCCTCCATTTCTCTCTACCTCACGACTCCATTTTATTTTCTGGTATACTTTCCCCTCTGCTGGTTCTATGTCTCCTGGTCCTGGAACAGGAGGAGGAAGCACACGGGGTGTTGAAGACATGCGGACATGCCCACGGGCGCCCACGCAGACCCATCAGCCTTCTGGATGTACCCTGGGCCTGGAACATGGGTCCCGTTGATACAAATGTCTCCTCCCACCTGGTCATCACTTGCTCGCACTTTTGAATCTCCCAGAGACTAACCCGCCAAGGCGTTTACAGCCTGTTGGAGGTGAGGTAGACGTGGGGATTCAGGGAGAAGCAGACATATCTCCGGGCATTTGCGGGATGGTTAGCTCTCAAGGTTAATGCGAGAAAGGGCCAGAGAGGACCGCCCTTGCAGCCCAGACGTTGGGGGCGGCTGTCCTGAGCCCTGGCCAGGCATCTGGATTACGCAGGAGTTCTTAAAAGCCCACGTGCCCAGGATCCCTAGGGCCAGCCACACCGGCATGTGGGCTGGGAGCCAGACATCGGTCTTCTTTACAGATCCCCAGGTCATCCTGTCATGTAGCCAAGGCTGACCCATGCAGTCCAATACAGCAGCCACCAGCCACATGTGTCCATTGAAAACTTAGAACGGGGCTGCTGTGACCAAGGAATTGAATTTATAATTGTAATTGACTTAAATGTACATGTGCCCATGATTGTGGCTGCGATGGTGACAATGCAGAGATACAACTCACATGTCACAGGACATTCTTCTGGGTGACTCAGCCTCGGAGCGCTCTGAATCTGCAACTGTCCAGTGAAATCACAGTGTGCCCCAGAGGAAGTGAAAAAAATGCATAGATTTTTCATCTACAGTTTGAACCAAGGCCCGTGCAGCAATGAGGGCACTGTGCTTTCAAAGTGCTGCCCGTTGAACGGACGCAAGGAATTAAAAAAACCGATGGAAGTCCAAGGCCCCAGCCCAAATCAGCTGTCATTCACTCTGGCCAGGCACTCGATCTGCATCTTTGAAGACTCAGCCAGAGAGGGAGCTTTCTGAATTATGATTGAATCATAGGAAACTCGGACTTTGAGACAGTGGGGAGCAGGCTTGCCAGAGGAGGGGCTTGGAACCTGAGGAAACTGAGGAGCGCTAGACACGGTTCACCGAGGCCACTCAGCATGCTTAACCAGTTTGGGGTTAAAACTGGAGAAACAGAAGCCTAAGCTGAATCATTTTCTGCTTATCTCTCGCAGACTGTCAGATTCTTTTTTTTTTTTTTTTTTTTTTTTGGAGGGAAAGGACCTTACAACAAAGAATAATACTATTTTGAATTTCAGAGCTTTCCCTTTTTCAAAGCTCTTTACCCCTTCTGACTTAATTTGTCCTCAGAGCAAGGCCATAACTAAGTAGGGAAGGATTTTTAGTACCGATCTTGCAGCCTGAGAAAAAGCTCACATTATGGAAAGTTAAAGAGGAGAGGTGAAGACAGGGTTGCTTTGTCATCTCTGGCCACACTCGGGCCCACAGAAGCTGTACTGGAACCAGGCGTGCCCAGGCTGTGCTCCTGCGGGGGACCGTGTTGTTAAAAGGAGCACGGGACCTCCCTCTTGCTCTGCCCTGGTCCACCCCAGCTCTCTGATGGTGAGAAGCCTCTTTGAGGCCATTTTTTCCAGAGGTTTGTGTGATTTGCAAATTTGATAAACACGCCATCCGTGTCTCTTCCTCCAACTTATTTTCAACACGGCAAGTGGGCAGGACACAGGACAGAGCTCTGTGCCTCTCCATGGAAACATTCAAATGACATGACTGGTGCACACCAGCCACAGACAGACCCTGCCT